GACACAGTTTTCTTGTATGAAGTACTAAATACTGAGTTAGATTTTAAAAATCCTCTAAATCATAAGAAAACTGATCAAAGGAGTGTTTCACACTTGGAGACATTGAAGCAAGCATTATATATGACAAAACAAGTTCACTGATAGCTGTTGCTATACTTTTAAGTGGAAAAGACAGCTCTAGTAACAACGTGACAACGTAAGTTTTTTGTTTACCAAGTAAGCTCCTAGATATTCCTCGCCTGATTAGGTCATGGTACGTTACACAACATTTATTGAGAGCCAATTGACGGCCGTTATTTCTGGAAATCGTGCGTGCAAACGTCCGATATGAACGATTCGACCACTTTATTTTTATCAGCTGTGATCATCCCATGGGTTATGAAATGGCACGATCTGAATGGCACTATGATGCCATGAATGCCAAGGTGACCTCATTAATACTTAAAATAATAATCAATTTAGTTAAAAGCCTGTTAACAGCGCATATATGACATGATTCATTATCAAATGAATGTGCACGGTGTGCGGTACGCATTTATAGCTATTAATTATTTGGTAACAATTAGTACCTATGAATAGTTCACCGAATTATTCTCCTTTGCGAAATTTAAGCTCAGGAACCCGACTACTTTAAATTTTAAAAAGGGCATGACCGTGACTTGCATCAAAACGTCTTCAACACGGGGATGCTAGTTCAACACCCATGCGAATGTTGGATGTTGAGCTGTCGGAGGGTCTCCCTTTAAATTTGTTCAAAACGGTTCTGATTTCGCCAAACACTGATGATGATTTCATACCAAATCATTGCACAAGTCACTTATATATTCGTCGAATACGCAACCCATTTTCTCTCCCGAAAATGTCAAAGCGCTGTAGTAAACAGGCCCATCGTGTCACTCCGCATTACCGCGAGGTGTCAAAACCCTTGCCGGAGGCGTCGTCGCGTGCTGTCTGAGGACAGACGTTCTCCTGGAGCAGAGTCACGATAGGGAGCGTGCCACCGAATCATGTAAGCTGAGCCGGGCCGCGGCACCGCGGTGATCACGTGACCGACCGGGAGAGCTTCGTCGGGGCCCCACTGCGGCACCGCGATGGTCACGTGACCGAGCGGGACAGAGTCCGGCCTAGCTGGGGCGCAGCGGCTTGGGTCGCATAACCCAGTGGAATGTTGCCATATAGGTTTGCTTTCGTATTTCACCTTGAAGTATGCTAGACGTGTACCACACACGGTGTGCGGTGCGCGGCACGCATTAAATGAAGTTCAACTTCCGTTAACTTCTTAAGCGACTTAACAGATTAAGCTTACTTAGCGAATAAGTGCAGTTAACGGGCTCTTAACAGGTTTTAGGTCCTTTCGCGGAAGTACCATTTTAGGCAAACTTGCCAAGTCCACTGCACGAAGGTAAAACCTCGTACGTTAATTTTCGGCCATTTTGCGCTTTTTATGTTATCTGATTCATCTGCGCATGCTGATTTCGGTTATTCAAACTATCAGTTAAAATTTTCTCAAACTTTGAGCGTATTCTTTTGGCTGAAAGTTTGTAAAAATTTCAACTATTGATTTAAATATCCAAATGCAGCATGAGAAGATGAATCAGATGACATAAAAACGCAAAATGGCCAGATATGAAGAGATGGTGTTTCACCCAAACGGCAGAACTCTGTGCACACATACGCTTGCGGATGAACCAGTGCAACAGTGCACCAGCGTCCTCAAGTAATGCACTAATGCGATCAAGCAATGTACCAATGCGCTCAAGCAATTCGCCGGTGCGCTCAAATAATGCACCAATGCACTCAGGCAATGTACTAATGCGCTCAAGCAATGCACCAATGCACTCAAGCAATGCACCAATAGGATTAGTATTTTTGCAGCATCTAAGTGCGTTTCCGTTGGCAAATTTCTGCCCATACCCAGTGTCTGCCGTGTTTATGACTGCACAAATGCATCTGCAACCCTCATCTTGCCCTACAAGAGGCGTACGGTGCATGCTTCTGAACGTGGGCTTGCTACCCTTCTCATACGGGAGATTGCTTCACGGCAAGAACAGCTCGGAACCCCTTATGCCGAACCAATATTTGGTCAAAATATACGTAACACATGCATATAAATGATATGAAAAGCCGAACAGTTTCGTGACGTGACAAACACATTACGAGCAAAAAAAAACAAACAAACAAACAACAAAAACAAACAAACAAAAAACAAAATGACAACACTGGAGTGGGCAGAACCTGCGCTGTCCGCGGAGGTAAGGGTTAAACAAAAATTAGAACCCTTAAAACCCGCGCGATGCTCTGAGGTGATGGTGACCTCGAGCCGAAGGGGCACGGGGTGATTAGTCAATAACCAGTTGGCTCTGAGATGCTGTATATCACCATAGCACTGCGTCATCATCTGCGTCATCTTCAATTAGGATGACCTCACTCTCACGATCTTTGCGTGAGGCGACGATCTTGTGACACTGTGGATGATCTATCAGCAATAAGAAATGACCTGACGTTATCATGGCCTAATGTGTCGGTTGGCCTAAACCACCATGTGAAGGTCACTGATTCGTGATGTGATGGACAGGGACCAAATGAAACGTTTTTTTTTATATTTTTCCGAACGTGACCTTGAATGGCCTTTGCTCCAGGGAACGTGGTATTGGTGTCACACCCGCTGGCCGGCGTCCACACTCGACTCAACGGCGGGGGCATATCGACCCCGATCCGCTCCCTTCTGGACACCAGCGGCTCCGGTGTGACCGTGACCCAAGCCCAGGTCAACGGCGGCGCGGGCCAGATAAAGGGTGGCACGGGCCAGGCTCACGGCGGCGCGGGGCAGGCCAAAAGCGGCCTCTCGGAGCGCCTGAAGCCGCCGCCGGCCGGCGGACCCCCGGGCCGGCACCAGTGTCCGTCGGGCCGCCGCCGGTGTCCGCCGAGCCGCCACTGTTCCCTGGCAGTCGTGGCAGCGGCGGACCCCACCGCCGGCCTCAGTCGCCTCGTCACCGACCCATCATCTTCCCCGGAGCCACCACCAGCCGGCCGAGGCCGACGGCGGCTCCGACGAAGGTCAGCGGAACGCTACGTAATGCCCAAGCGAGGCAACACGGGCTCAGTTGGACCATTTTGGTCAGCTGGCTTTTTCGAATGTCTCTTTTGGAAATAGTTAGCCTGCATAAAGTTTTACTGATTTGGCAAAGCTTTCATGCGACATGATGCATTTATGCAGCATAAGACAGGGCATGGAATATTAGGAACGAGTTTGAAAATACGGGAGCGATCAGCTGACTTGGCGGGGAGATGTTTTGTTTATATTTGTGTCCACGGCTGCTTCGTGGGCGTCTCCGGAATGGAGGACTAGGCACCCGCTTACCCAGCCTTATGGTGCAGGTTGGCGATACTATTCTGGCGCAGGGCCTGCTCCCGCCCGCGTTTCCGCCGAAGCCGTCCGTCACCACACTGGGCTCCCTCGGCGGCTCCTCGGCACGTCCCCTGAGGACCCCGACTCGTCCTCTGAGGACCCCAGCTCGTCCTCTGAGGACCTCGTCCTCCCGGCTGCCGCCGCGAGCCGACCGGCGACCAGCGGCGACCAGCGGTCACTTGCAGGGCTTCGGCGTTCGCACAAGAAGCGCTCTTCATCCCGGCGGGCGCCGGCGGCACCGGAGCTTCGCCCGTCTGCCGCCAGGAGCACAACTGCCGGAGGCGGCTGAGCTCGAGCGCTGCCGCGGCGATGGAGACTGCGCCGGCCTCGGCCTGTGCTGCTACAGCCGCTGCGCAGGGAACGTCGGTCTGCCAGAGGCTGGACGGCGGCGGCCTGGCGGCGCGGTCGCTACTGCCCTGAGCCGCGGGAGCACCGTCGAGGCGCGGCACGATCAGGTGCGCGGTGCTGGCCGCGGATCAGCCCAGCGCGGCGAGGGTGTCGGCATTTGCGGCGGCGCGACGCGTCCTCGCCCGGATAACGATCAGTGGGCTGTGTATCAACAAAGACCACGCGCGGCGGACGCGGCACCACCCGCCCGCACGGTGGCGCAGAACTGGACGCAAGGCGCGCTTCCGATCCTTCGGGCATTGCTTCGTGAGCGTTCACCGTGTCACCGACTTGGGGGTATAAGGGTGCATTGCGACATCCAGTCGAAAGCGGCGTTGTCTGTAGCCGACGCGTGTTTACAACCGACACTCACGCCACGTCCTCTTGCCGAGCCGACACCGATACCGAACGAGCGAAAGGAAATAAAGCATGTATTTCGGTGTGCATAGTCTTACAGATGTATGTACAGGCCAGACCGACGCCGTCAGGAGCCGAGCTGCGCATGCGCACGACGTCCCGCGCCGGCGCCATCAAGCCGCTCACTCACGCGCTACAAATCTACTAAAAAAACAAACAAAAAACAGATCAGTGAGAACAGTGTGACAATCACGAAAACGGCTCAAACGCTCCGCGTCGCTGCCAGCAGGGCTTGGCAGTCGGCAAGTCAACAGGTACAAACGCCAGCCTCACTCACGCGGCGCCGCCTCCGGCCGGCGCGCCGCGTCTGGCGACCGCCTGCTCCTGGATATCATGCGGATGCCACCGGATATCCTCAGGAGAGCCAGCGGCGGCGCGGCGATGCGCCGCCGGTCCTCACGGAGGCTCGGATTCCGCAGTCTCACAGAGACCCGAGAATTGTGCGGTCTCACGGACGGCCGGGGGTCCGTACAGTCTCGCGAAGGCCCAGGTACGTACAGGCTCACAGAGGCCCAGGTCATGTACCGTATCAGGGGCCCAGGTCATGTACAGTCTCAGGGGCCCAGGTCATGTTGGTCTCACAGAGGCCCAGGTCGTGCACGGTTACTCAGGGGCCAATATCATGTACCAGCCTCAGGGCCAAGGACTTCGCCATGACAAGTCCTGGACCACATCCACACAGGCACGGCTTTTGTTCAGTTGGCGCGGTGTACGCCCAGAGGCGCCAGCGTCGTCGCGCGCCGTTGGCGTGACGCCCCGACCGCGCACACTATCTCCCCGCCAGCGAGACTTCTCCGGACCTTTGTACTCAGCTGGCCGAGGCCCGCCCGGCGGCCACTCGCCCAAAGCGAGCTTGACGAGCCGGCCACGAGATGGCGGGCGCATCGCGCGGCGACGGACCTCTCCAGGTGCTCCTGAGATGGCGCTGTTTGCGCTCACAGCGGCTGCGTCTCTCCGTCGAACACGGAGAGTGCCGCCAGCTGTGGGTCGGGCAGCACCACCACCATCGGGGCGGCGGCGCCGACGGCAGCGACACCTGGCGGCAGGGGCGCAGCGCGCTCAGACGTCGAGGCCGCCGACACAGGCGAACACCAACCGCACCACAGCATTGCCAGGGCATGGGCTTCACCTGAGTCTGCTGCACAGATCCTGCAGTCGTGAGGTCACGACATCTCAGAGTCAGCACACTAAGGAGCGTGCAGGCTAATGTTGGACACCAACACGACGGAAGAGACATGCACACGCAAATAGTGTCTTTTAGGACACTGGGGAGTGAAAACTCTCCCCTCTCAGCGGCCGGGTGGACGGCAGGGCACCCTGGCGGCCCCCGGCGTCCCCTGGCAGCCTCCGGCGACGCTTACCGTCGTCCTGAGCGGCAGACGCCTCGACCGAGAAGCGCGAGCTGCTCCAGTCACTCTTCACCGGCGAGCGCTCGACGAACTGTCCGTTCACGTCGAAGTACCCGACGTCGGCGTCCAGCTCGGCGGCGGCGGCGCCGTGGTCGGCGGCGCCCATCAGCGCGCTCAGGTCCAGCGTCACCTCCTCCGGCTCCTCCTCGGCGGGCGGCGGCGCCGGCGCCGGCTCCGGCTCTGGCGGCGGCTTCGGCTTGCGGCCACGCTTCTTGCCCGGCGGCGGCGTCTTGGCCGGCGCCGACGCGTTCTTCGGCGGTCGGCCGCGCCGCTTCGGCGTTGGCGCCTCCGGAGCAGCCGTTGGCGGCGGCGGCGGCGGCGGCGCGGAGGAGGAGGCGGAGAAGATGGCGGCGGCGGCGGCGCGGGAGTTGGTGGCGCAGATGGCCGGGGCGGGAGCGGCGTGGTGAACTTGACGACCCTGGCGGCGGGTCGGGCGAGCCGGGCGCCCTGCGGCGAGGTCTTGGCCACTGACCGCGCCGGCACCAGCTCGCCCTTCTCGTTGATGATAACTGGTCCGTCCTCGATCACCACATCGGCGTTGGCGTCCAGTATAGTCATGGGCTCCGTCACCGGCTCCGGCAGGCTGGCGCGCTGCCTCAGCGGCTTTACAAGCATCTTGATCGCCTTCGACTTGAGCACGACGCCCGCCGACCGCGCGTTCAACTTAAGCTTCCTGACAACGCCGCTAGATGGCTCCGGGGGCGGCTGCGCGTCATCTT